AACAACAACAACAAATGGGAAAAGGCAAAATATATTCCCACTGTTTTGAGGCTAAAGGAAGAAATGTAGACAGTTGGATTAAACTACTATTATTTCTCTTTCTTTATTTTGATTTTTACAATAGCCTCTTGTAGTATAGGTTTTGTGGAAGAAATCTGTTTGTCAGTTTTGTTGTAGTTTTGAGAGCTTTAATTTTGTGGATTAAAGTTTATTCATAACTGAATGTTTTTCAGAAATCTGTGAGGCTTTTCCCCTATAGGTTTACATGGGTATGAAAATGTCCTACAGTGCTCTAACCCAACCTTGCTAATTATTATGCACGCTGGATAATGCTGATAATATTTAGCTTAGAGTTCAAGAAGGTTCCATCCTTGTTTACACAGGTAAGACTTGGAAAACATGTTTTTTTAGAATAGTTCATCCAAAGCTGAGAGTAGAACTGAGATTTCATTTTTCTCAGTTGCTGTGTTTCTGGTTATGTTTCTGTTAGTGTTTTAATTAGGATCAGGAGTGTATTTTTGAAGTGAATCTCCTGATAACCCCAACTTACTGCACCTTGATTCACATCACAGTGCTCTTAGAAGTATGTGGACTATTCTTTTTGGATGTAACAAACCAGAAGATGTATGTATTCAGGGGTGCACCTGCTATGCTGCAGCTGCTAATGGATTTTGATTAGTGGCTAGGACTAGTCTGAAGTAAAGTTCCTCTCCCTCAAAAAACAGAGTGTGGGTCTCATGGCCTCATCACAGGTATTTTGCTCTACTGATCCACCCTAGTGTTTCACCTTACTTGCTAATGCAGACACAGTGTTGTAAATCAGATCAGGCTTTGTTTCTGTATTTACTGACTCTGCTGTAAATAAAGTAATTAGACTGTTTGGTACTTGTTAGTTTTTGCTGTAACTGATAAAATAAGTAGCATTTTAATACATGTTTAGTTCTTAGTTTATGAATCTATTTCCTGCTTAAAAAGACTATATAATATTCTGAAAATAAATATCAGAGCAAACATGAAGCAAATACGTTTTGATACCAAAATCTCTGTGGTTATGTAGTGGTATAATTTGGTTTATACAGAGCTCCACCCTTACACGGCTAGTCTGGTTTGTGTACCTGAATCAGTATGGATGTCTGTCTGTGAACAGAACACTCCAACGTGGAGCATTGTAGACGTGCTGTTCCCAAATTTAATGAGCTAGAATATGCCTTGGCATATAACCATAGTTGGTAGTGCTTAAAAAGAAGTTTAAAATTCAACTATATCAAGGCAATAAGCATTTACTAGTAGTGAAGAGCAAAACCAGCATGTTACCATAGTTCCAGGGTAGTGAGAACATAGAACTGGGTGTGGAATTCAAAATAAAGGTTAGTGTACAATATCCTGTCTTCAACAATGGCCATAAGCAGATGCTTTGGGAAGATTGAGAGTAGGACAAGCATGTATGATTCTTGTCTCATCCTGTCTTCAAATATTCTTCCATCCTCCAGCTATTCTCGGCTCAGCACTTTTGTACCTACTGTGCTTTGTCTGTTTAACAACCTATAATGGATCTCTTCCAAGAAATGCAATTACTTATCCAGTCTTCCCTTGAAACCACATATAAAATTGCTGCTGCATCCACTGTGTTTTCAGGCATGCAGTTTAATGGGCTGACTACTCACTGCTTACAAACTTCTGTTTGTCTAGTTTGTGCCTGGTACATACTAGCTTCATTTGATGGCTCCTTGCTCCTCTACTGGAGCAGTTGATCCCTGGACCCATACTGTCTATGCAACTCATAATTTTGTGAGTGTCTCCTTTATCTCTCCTTAGCCATCTCTTTTCTGAACTGGTGAGTTCTAGCCTGTTCCATGTTGCTTACCTTTGGTGACCTTAATACCTTTCTCTGATCTTTTTCTAATTATGCCATATGTAGAGATTATAGCTACTTGAAGGGCTTGGAAATCAATAGTGTGTTTAATGTCTGGGTGAGCCACGGATTTATAGTGGCATCATAATGTCTCTTGTTTTCTATTTCTCTCTAGTTACTCTCTACATTTGAGTTTCCTTTTTACTGCTACTGGGTACTAAGGCAGTGTTTTCATTGAACCACCTATTATTACTTCCAAGTCTTGCTCCTGAGTGATGGTGTTGAGGTCATGCTTCGTTAGTTTTTATGTGAAGCTAGTATCTTTTCCATGGATATCACTTTTCGTTTAACAATGTTGAATTTCATTGGCTATTTTAGCATCCTGAGGCCCTTTTGCAGTCATTCTTTGTAGGCACTTAGCAATCTTTGTTGTCATCTCACTTTTGTGATTTGTCAATCTTTTGCAAGTATGTTAAATTGAATAAATTCCAGTGCAGGCCCTTGGCAAAACTCCCACCAGTGGGCTCCCTCCACAGCAACAACCATTTATTCTTATGCTGTTTCTTATATTTTATTTTATTTTTGTCCGTGCTGTCACCTCTTAATCTGTGACAGCTTAATTTCCTTAAAAACCTTTCAGAAATTTTTGTAGGCTGTTTGGACCAGGATTTCCCTTTTTCACATCCTTCATGATTTCTTCAGAGAACTCGAAGAGATTTGCAAGGCTTTCGCAGAAGCCATGCCCAATTTTACCAGAGCAAATTGTATTTATCTAGGTATCCATTAATTCTGTACTTTATTATAATTTCTCATTTCTCTAATACAGACATAAAGCTAGCACCCTAAAATCTCTTTTAAAGAATAGCATTGTATTTCCCACAGATAAGATATGGTAATATTAATTGAATTAAAAGTGAGTTATGATGTTTCTGCTTGTAATACAATTCTCATGTTCCATCTGAGTGAGTTTAATGTAAGAAGACAGCTCTAAAGTTTTCAATAATTGTCAGTTTGAATTATATTTAAACTTTAAGGAATGTATACAACTAGTTCCTACAAAGTCAATATCAATTCTACTTTAAAGCTAAGCTTTGCTTCATAAGTGTTTTTAAAAAGCAGAAAGTTTGTGATAAAAGATATAATACTCGTAATATATTTGAATAGTCTTTCTAAAGCTGAGCAAGCCTTTCAAAAAAGCCTGTATTAATTTAGATTTTGTGTACTATTCACTTATACTTAAAATCTGAAATAGATGAGAAGTTATACAGGTTCCCTAAGGTTAATATGCTACATGTTTATATTAATAAAACTATAAAGTTATAGATATTTATCTTTAAATTTATGTGTCTCTAATGTACATACATTTTTGATAAGATTATTTAAATAAAGTAATGAATACATACATATATTCCTCCTTCATGAAGCCAGAGGTACGTGAGGTCGATAAATGAGGAAGATAAATTCGGCTGCACTGTAAATTTGTGGGGCGACCATAAAATATTTTGCCATGAATATTATATCAGAAAGTAGATAAGAAAACAGGGAAGGAGAGAAAGAATAGTTTTCTTGAGTTAGTTGACCTCAGACCCACAACTTAATAATGATATAATAAATTTTCTATCCACAAATTTTTACAACCAATTGTTCTTAAAGACTATATATGTTCTTAAAGGTTATATTCATGGGCTTATGAGGAATTTCTTTCCATTAAAAAAAGGTATCATTAAATGTTTTCATTTTGTTAATATTTTAGTTGTTATGTCAGAAACCAAAATATACTAAGATGGGCTTCAAAAAATAACTGAAATTGTAAAAGAAAAAACCAAACCTGTCTGAAACTTCTTAGAAATTCTAATACAAATTTGCTCGCATAATTTTATATAGCCTTTTTTGTTTTCCACACTTAAAGTATAATGTAAAATTGGTAGTATGATGTATGCTTTTATTTCTCGCATTCGTCTGTTTTTCTTGTTGAAAATGGTGATTCTTCCTCACTGCTAACAAACATTTATCAGGAAAAAAGTGCTGAAAAATAAAGAACCTAATAAAACAAAAGCGGTAAAGTGCCCTATAGTATTATCTTACCCTGTAGCTATTTGGATCTGTTTCTAGGCATAAGACATGATAAAAAACTTTGCATAGCTCAAACAGCATATAGTACTTTTCGATTGATTGCTTAAAGCAATTTTTGTTCTACTTTGAAGCAGAATATAGCTAATTGGTATTAGCTATGCAGAGGGATAGTTTAAATTAATAACTTAAAAAAACTGGAATGCTACTATTTGTACCTGTTCTACTTGATGAACAATTCTAATAAAGATTGTATTACATTTTTAGATGCCTTCTGAAATAATATGGACTAAAGCACAGGTAAAATGTAGATACTAATGGTTCAGTTGTATTAATGCATATCCTTTTCCCTGGATCCTAAGCCCTTTGACGAAAGGTCGTTTATTGCCTATATTGCTAATCAGCTAAAATCTCCTTTGAAAGAGTTGAGATAGTTGAGGTACAAGCTGAGAAGTAAATATTATAATAAACCTTGGCAGGACACTGCAAACATAATATGAGGAAGATTTGAAACTCAAAGTTCGTGATTTTCCTGTCCGATTAGAAATTGGAAGAAGAAACATCTGTATTTCTGGAAGATGTGGAGGAACCTTGTGGAAGTATTTTTGTGATCTTATCCTCCTATTCTTTTCTCTAATGTGTCTATTTTCTACTGCTGTCAGTAGAATGTCTACTGCTGTCAGGATGTATAGCTGGACAGATTTTTGGCCTTATCCACTTGTTCCTATTGAGCATGACATTGATTTGTATTGTAGTCATTTTGCAAGTTGGATTACTTTAGAACGTAGAGGCTTTCTCAGGTCAATTTTCTTCAGCTTAGGCTGCCCACCCAAGGATGGGTGGACATCATCAACCCAGGTTATATATCAGACTGCTATCTAATGCTGAGCTGAGTGCTCTTTGCTCCTAGTGATGTTTTTTACTACAGCAATAATAGGACATTTACCTACACTAAAATCCTATCTCCACTTTATAGATGTATCTTAAATGTCCCAAACTATCCAACTGTTCTAAAATGGATATTAATACCCCACAACTAAGGAAAAGTTTCCATGTATACTCATTGGCAATAATTACTTCACTGAAAGTAAGGATGGAAGTAGTTGTCTTCTGCTTCACGATCTTCTTCAGTTTCATGATCATGTGTTTCGTGATCGTCTTCTGCTTCATCGTATTCTTCTGCTGTTAAAAATCGTCGAAACACTGGTATTCTTAGCTGAGTTGACTTGTTGACATTAACATTTTGTTCACCATAATAAATGGCTTGAATGTGAGGGAAGCAAAAGAATGCATAGTGGCTTATTGGAATCGTAAGCTTATTTTGGTCCACCCGTATATAGGTTAATTGGTTGGTGTTCAACGGATCAATAGATGGACACATCAAAGTAACATTTATGACTGTAAGAGAGAGAAAAATATTAATTAACATACAGAAAATAGTTATATTTAAGACCTATTGTGAAAGTGAAACTTACGTTTTGAAATTTAAAATGGAAAATATTTTTGCGGTGCACGGTATTAATATAATTCTTCCCTGCGTTTCAAATCAGTTTTGTAAATGACAGTGATAACAATTTTGGGGTTTGCAAAGTATAAGGTTGTAGGTTAAAGAAAAAAATAAATATGACTACCACTACAATTTGTAATTACTATTTTATGTGATGGAATATTTTCATAATTCCTTTTCCCTGTATGTTTTTATTAATTACTTGATCAGAAGCAATTTTCAAAAAGGTTTTAGCTTGTTACATGAAAAACTGGTATTAACTTTTACAAAACGTTGCAAATTAGGGGTAAGGTGCAAAAATAAAATCTTTTCTGATTTCACCGGTTTGGTCTCAGCTAACCAAGGATGTGTTTACACTGCATCTTGAAGAAGATGGGATGATATTCTTCCTGCATTGTAAGCTGATCAAAAGCTACATAGCTGCATTTGCTCCTGAGAAGTACAGTGTGTATGAATTCTGGGTGAGTGCCACATTAACTGGTTAGTTCAGAACACTAATGGCTAAAGCTCACCTCTCTCCAAAGGTCATTAGAGTACCTCTTGAACAGCATGCAAATCTGGATGACTGCTGGATTCTGTGTTTGGTTTATACGTGACCTAACTGAGAAACTGTAAGGTGGCAGGTCCTTGAAACCAAGGACGCAAAAAATGAGATGTTTCTGACAGTTTTTGATCTAGGCTAGTTGTTCTTAATTCTGGATGGAAAATATGCTGAACTCGCCCCCTCCCACAATCCCTCCCAAAATCCACCGAGTTTTTTGCTTTTAAAGAATTACAACCATCAACATACTTTCAATGTCGTTGTCTTCAATATACAAATGCTGCAAACTTCTTGGAATATAGAATACTTGTTTCAATTTGTTATGTCCAAGATTAAGTTCTAGAAGGTTAGGTAGATTAAAGGTGTTGCGTGGAATGTTCTGCAGGTTATTGTGGGACATTCTTAGAGCAGTGATTTTTGGAAGTCTGTTGAAATAGTTTTCTGGAATATAAGAAACGGAGTTATTTTCAAGAGAGAGATACATAAGTGACGATGGTAGATCAGGAGGCATAGTCTGTAATTTGTTGTTGCATAAATTGAGCTGCATTAAATTTTTCATGTTTGAAAAGGGTTTTCCTTTGAGTACTGAGTCGTCAAGAAAGTTATTGCAAAGGTCAAGCATGGTTATGTTAGGTAATCCTTCCAATGCATTTCCAGATAACTGAGAAATCTTATTGAAACCAAGGAGGAGTCTCTCTAGAGAGCTGGGGAGTGAGAATGGAAATTCTTCTAATTCATTATGTTGTAAATGAAGTTGCACTAAGTTTGAAAGTTTGGCAAAAACACCATGGTCAATCATATGAAATTTAATTTTGTTGTGGCTGAGGTTAATTTCTCTTAAGAAGGTAGCATTAGTGAATGGTCCTGCAGGCACAGCTTCAATATCATTATTTTGCAGATAAAGTTGTTGGACGTGACTAGGGATATTTGGTATTGTCTTAAGTTTACGATGATCGCAGTACATTGATAACGGAAAAGCTGGTGGACAAAAGCATTCTCTGGCGCACTCAACTGGAAAAGGAAAGCGGGGAACTTCAGCTTGTGTATTTGGATTAATATAATACGGCTGTTGATGATCTGGCTCCTCATCATATTCATCCTCAAAATCATAGTCTTCGTATTGACAAAAGACCATAGCAGCCCAGAGGAGGTGAATGATTGATAGCTGGCTCAGAATCCCCATATTTAAATTTGTATCTTGTATCCTGTTGATGAGAGGGAAAAATAAGTTTATTAGATAGTCATAAATCACATATAAGTTTCAGTTTTAAGAAGAAGCAATATAAAATAAAGTCGAATAATACATTTTTTTGGCAACACTGTCAGCGACATTGTTGGCAAAAACAAGTTTTAATCTGTATCTTTCAAGAAAACAGCCATAAACAAATACACCATCCTTGAAGTAAACGTAAGTTTTCTTGTCTGACTGCAAACACGGAACAGCTTTCTAACTGCTGTGCCTGTTACTGAAGGATACCTTAACAGTTGGGAGTAGAAAAAAATCCCAGTCTTCATTCCTTTCTCACTTTAACTTATTACAGAGAAGTTGCAAAAGGACTTTTTACATGAAGTGGTATAGTCTGGGGCTTGTATTGGACATCTGAGGTGTTGCATTCTTTCCAGTATAATAGATTTAAGCATCAGCCTTACAAGTCAGTTTTAAATGGGTGCAGATGGAATTCCTGAGCAATGTTTCTTCCTCAGACCTTTGGAAAAACATAGCTAGCTTTATTAAACTCTGTCAAGATGAAAACTTTTTTTGCAAATGTATTAGTTATTCTCACTATGAACTTGTACTGCACAAATGGGGCGTGGTCAATATCATAGAATCATAGAAGTGTTGTTTGGAAGGGACTTTTGGCGATCATGTAGTCCAGCCTGGAGCTCCAAGTGTTTCCATCTCCAACAGTAGTTTAGATCAGCTTAGACTTTGTCTGGGCGAGCCTTGAAAATCTTCAAGCATCTCTCTAAATAACCCAAGTTACTTGTGAAGAAATTTGCTTCTAAGCTTACTAAGCATCCAAGCCATGGCTTGTGTCTGTTTGTCCTTGTTTTTAAACAAATTTATTTTTGTTAAAAATATATATTCTCAACTAAGGTGAGGTAATTGCAGCATTGTTTCTATAAATAGAACAGTGAAATAGATTACTTTGTATTTTATGTAAAATAGAAATTTACATGGCATTGTATGTTCTGTGGCATTTTATGTTGTTGTTCTATTATTTTCTGCAAAACATGGCTGGCAGTACAATGCATTAATGGTGATAATTTAATTTTTCTGTTCCTGTCATTTAATTAAACCAAATACAATTCAACCATTGTGTACTGCACATCATGTAAAATCTTCATTGATAAAAAGTTTTCTTTATAGTCTTCCTATGCTTCTGTAATCATATGTTCATTAGAGAGATGAACTAATTTACCTTCAAAGTACCCTTCTGAGGTGAAATACTGATGTTGTGAAAAACAAATAATTTTGCACGTCAAATTTCTGATGCTCAAAGCCAGACTAACATTTTAGAGCGTAGTCAGAGGAACCCTATCATTTGGCAGAATTAGAGTTGTGAATCATGTCAAGCTGTTCAGCTTAAACAACAGATGAGTCAAAATGTAACATTGCAGGTCAAAGTGCATAAATCATGCAAAATTTTAAGAGACTTCGCCCAGTATAGTGTGGCAACCCTGAGGCAGGGAAAGCAGATATTCTCAGTTTTTTTTATAATGGCATTCATGTTTCTTGATTAGGGCACTCTTCTTTGTTTTCTTGATGTTCTTAATTTTTTTTTTTACCAAACAATGAATCAAAGGAGATGAGACTTACAAATGCTAATTTCCTATGCTTCATAGTGGTGATTAATTCCTAATGCATGATGTATTCTACAAATTGAACTAAAGAAAGAGGGAATTCTAAGAAAAAAAGTAGTAACAATCATGGAATTTAATACATCCTTGTAATCTTCCTGTGTTGCACACAGCCTGTGTGTGACAATGGCTGGGTGAAATGATTTGTGGTATTGTTTGACTTGCATTTCTAACTTTGTATCCTTTGTATTTGAATGCTCCTTTAATCAAGTTTCATAACTGATTAAAATCTTAAAAACTGGTTTGGATGGAGTCAGTTGTTTGGAAGCCTGCTGTAAGTCCTCAGCAAAGCCAGGGTCTCCATATCCCTACAGCATCATCAGATGTCTGAGCTAATCTAAGTAAATGGCAGAAATATGTCTACACAGAGAGCAGCTTTGTACTACAAGCATTGTATAAATGCGCTATGCTGGTAAACTATGCAGACGCTGAGTTGAGAAGCAATACTGTGCTTCAGGAGGAATTAATTGGTTTTCAGATTTCAGGCAGTATATACTGGGAGAATACCTTATTACCATATTTCTAACTTCTAGTCAGACCTGGTGTTGTCTACCTACATAAAATCTGTCTCTAAATCCTGTGATTTAATTCTGTTTTTTTGTGAACAGATCCTCACACATTCTGTCCCCCATCACTATTTCATGTTCTTTGTTTCCTTTTGATTCCTGTTACTCCCTCTTAGTTTCAGTCCAGAACTTCAGCTTCACCTTCTGGTTGTATTCTCTTAGCACTCCTACTGGTGTCACAGAATTTCCAGTTAATAATTTTGGTTCTCAGTGCCACAATAGTCCTTAGAAACCAGGAGGAACAACTCAGGAAAGTCCTGCTCAGTCTGAGGAAAAAGCTTACTTAGGCCTTCATGCGATTGATGCACTTGCCAGGTAGACAATGTAAAGAGAACTATCATCACTTCAGATGGAATGATAAATAATAGGTACCAAAGTCTCTTGCTGGTTTTATGGAGAGAGAGAGGAGCTGGTATTTGGGGGGATTTTTTTTTTTTTACACCTTGGCTGTAGTTGAGTGCATTTTTGGTAGAATGGTAACTGTCCTGCCAGGCTTACAAGTCATGTCTCAAAGCACTGAGATACTAATACTTCTTCATGAAATATTTCTAAGAACTTAGCTAGCTTTAAAACAAAGAATCATGTCAGGTGAAACTTGATAATGGGGGAAGCAAGTCAGATGCACATTATATGATAAACTGCATACTTACAAAGTTGAAAGAAAATAGAAAATCTTAAAAGCATGATTCTCTACCATCTGTAATAAACTCAAAGCTTAGTAACTGTATTTGTAAGCAGTTTACTAGCTGAAAGCTGAAAATTATATAACATGCATGAATCACACTTAACTACAAAAATAACACAACTGGTTCATTTTATTCCTGCTTATCAAGAAAACTTACTCTTTGGAAGTCTCTGAAGCTCAAGTTGTAGAGGGCAGCAAGTTACTGTGCTGGTGAAATCATCTAAGAAATAGCCTAACACAGCTCGGGGAACAAAAGATCTCTAAGCCATATTTTGTGGTGAGGAGCCTTGTGGGAAGGCAAAGCAAAATAATAGCCTTAGCCCCTCTTCTGATTTGCCAGTTAAAAAAAAAAAAAAAAGTTTTGTGCCACATCATCAGTTACTGTAGATGCTGTGTCATAAGTCTGTGAAGCAATTTCTCCTTTTGTTAAAATCACTTCAAAATTATTTGCAAGATTCTTTCACTGTTACCAGTTCCCATTAAAAAAAAATTGAGAGAGTAAGACTTCAAAAAATATTTCAGATATCGTTAGTTCATTGTGCGGTTTCAACTACAATGATTCACTTAGGCAAAGGATTTGTCCTCTGGAGGGTGAAGTTAAGAAACAGTAAAAAATTAACCTTATCAAGATTGAGGGAAAGCATGTGCTATAGAAAAGTTCTTATGAACATCTTCCATTTTATACTTTTTTCCCCTCCACAATCCATATTTCCTGTTTCCTTCCTGCAAAGCAGTTATGCTATACAGGGCTGTTGGTATGATGATATACTTCTCAGTGTTGTTTTAAAGTTATAGTTCAGGATTCACAGTAAGTTTCCAACATGTTTTTGCTAAGTTGTATAGAAAAAGCATAAATCTTCCAATGAAAAAGACAAGTATGACATGAGATATAAACCATTTTACTGAAGAAAAATGTTTTTCATAGCTTTTAGGAGGGATAAAAAAAAGGCATGGGTATCTGCTTTTGCTGCTCTATGGTACTTAAATAACTGTGGTATATGCAAGAAGTGAAGAAAAAGGACTTTTTTTGTTGTTGAAGTGAGATGTTCTGGATTAATTCTATGATTTATCAAAAGCATTTAATTATGCTTTTGGTTTGGTAAAAGAATTACATTATTTCAAAATCTCTTCACAAGGAAGGATCCAGTTCTTAAAAAAGCGTAAGTGCCTTAGAGGTATCGTATTTGAGAAAATAATGCAATAGTAAGGTTTACTTCTTTTTTGTCTTTGAGCTTCCTGAAGCTGATGGTTTGCTTGACCTTTTCAGGTTTCCTCTGTAACACTGAGGACAAGAACATTGTTTAAGAAGATAAATCATGCATGATTCTAACATTTGGGATATAAAGAAAAGCACCAGAAGCCATGAGCAAAAATAATATTGTAGGAGTTGGCAGTACTGGAACTAAAATAAAGCAGTCATGTATTTATGTAGAGAATACAGAATATAAGGGAGAGGCTGAAAGAGTAAAATTAAAACTACATAATCCTTTATTAACAGTCCTGTAAATAGTTGGATAGCTACATTTTCCTGCTAAACCCAAATAATACTAAACAACAAAAGTAATTGATTTTTAAAATAATTAGAACACATTCATAATGAAAAAACCCCATCAAGTTTGTTATGCCAGTTAGTAAAATGTTATTTGCTGCTATAAAGCTTGGGGTTTTTTAAGCACAAGACAAAGAACATGGTGCAAATTTTTGGAAGCTCCATTATCTTAATAAATATAAAAGTTATAAATAAAGCATATGCAAAAATTAAAACTATTCTCTCTAAAGATAAAAATTGGACCAAATTAGAATTTTAATTTCATACCTGATATTTTTCTATCGTTTTCAACTATGAATTGTGTCCCAAATCCTCTTATGCTATCAGGAGGCTTAAAATCTCATGATGCATTTAAAAATCCATGGTGGCAGAGCAAAAGAGTCTGTCCTTTTGAAAAATTGTAGCAAAGCTCTTGTTTTAAAGCATATTTAGCTGCAGAAGATGATGCAGATCTAGCCATGGGATATATTAAGACTCAGTGAACTTTTTGTTGCATGAGCTATCTTGGATATATACAAGTC